GTCCCTACTGATTACCTTTTATATGCTAGTGTCATCCAAAGCCATCTTTTACTACATAGCTCAACCTATCCATAACCGCCACTGCTCCTCCTTTGTCTGATCTCAACACCATTCGGCCTTCATCATTCAGTTTCCTTATGATGTTTTTCACTCTCTTATTCCTGTATATTATTTCTCCGGTGAAACCAACTTACTAATTCCATCCACTCGCCTCTTCAAATGAAATGAAGGGTACTCCAACATTTAAATAAATATATTTTCTAGAAAATCTGCATTCTAGGACTGTGAGAAAATAACGTAAGCACCGGTTTCTGAACAATCCCCTACTTAGTAAAATTATGAATTCAAGATCAGTCTACTTTTGCCAAAGCCATCTTGGGAGAAAAATTGAAAACTCTAGATACAAGAAAATAACTTATTTAATATCCAATACTTTGTAAAAGAGAACCTCTGGTCATTGCGAGCTAACCATCAAACCAGAGTATCTGAATTCACAGGTAATGAAAAATTGGAATAAGAGTAAGAAAATGAGAAATAAAGAAAACATTTTCATTATTTGAGATATTCTTCAAAGATGTATGAAGCAATTAGCATCATCATCAACAATGTCAAATAAACCAGCGAAGGTAACAAAATCAGAACAACTTGGTTTTTACTAATCACCCCCTCTGAAAAACCAAAAGGACCAAGAGAATAGCTTATGTGGCTAAGTGCCATCAGGTCTGTTGAAGAGATTAGAAAGTCAGAGAATATAGATTTATGGCAATCCAGAAGGAAATAAGAAGAAGCCATTAAAAGACCAAACACCTTATCCAGAGAAAGCACTCGTGGGTGGTTTGACAGATATAAAAAAGATTTGGCCTAGAGAAACGATATTTTACAAAAGAATTTGTTTTCCCAATGCAGTACTTGTTACAGGATAATTGTAGAAGAAAAGAATATTAAACTGTCTCTCGTGACTATCTAGTTTGGCAAGAGGAATGCAAATGATGAAAAAGAAATGAGCAAGTTTCAAGAACCATGATTGAAGCCAGGTCTGAAAAGCTTAAAGAAATGTCTAAATGCAGGATATGCAGTGTTGGGTCACGACCACAATAACCAAGGCGATCGAGGTCCATATGAATGATAATAGTATATCCCATTTGTAGCAGAAATGATGAAGAATAGAAGTGATGAAAGGAACAACTATTGCAATTACTCATGGTAGCAATGAGTATAGGTATTACTCCATTATAGTAATAAAATGAATAGCTTCAGCTGACCTCAAGTGACTTGGTTAACGCCTGATCAAACTTTTAAATATAAAATCAAAAATGGGGGTGACGGTAGCAATATTCGTTGTTAATTAGAGCTAGCCAAAATTAGAACTGTTCGCAGAGTAGTCAAACCATGTGGAAAGAAAGGGCGTACAGTTACAGTCATTGTTCCATTTTTGGTGGCCTCTATGGGCTGGGCCTAAATTCGGTTCATGGAAGAACATGAAGAGCAGACGATACATGTTATATTTTCTTGAAACATTATCCTTCTAATTGCCTGGCAAAAAAAGCAGCTGGATCGTAGGCTTGCGCAGAGATGCGTCTGCCAGCGAAGTAACGTCCATGCAAGTTGCTTACGGCCGCCTGTACTGCCGTCAGTCCTGCATCGGGGAATACGACGAAAACATTGACTTCAGGGCGAGCGAACTGACGATCAAAGTATTCATGCAGTAAAACCTGTTGAACGCGACCGTATTGAGAACATTCTACGGCTACCTCGTTCTCGAGCTCAGTGTCAATTTCGCCAGGGCTGACCATATTTCGAAGAAGTAGCACACTAAATGCCATGTTAAAAAGCAAAGGATAAAGATTACCAAACATAAAAATCGCAAAATACTAAAAAAAACGTGTAGCCTGACAACTAATAACAGAAAATAGGAAATTAGATTAATAATTGTTTCAGGCCCAAAAGCATATCCATGTCAAATACATCAATGCAAAAGGAAAAAGTGATTGTATTATAAATAATTATTCTGCTGAGTGGAAAGCATTTTCATGCGATCTGAAAAAAGGTCCTCTTTGGGAACAAGACGAAGATAGTTTTATAACCAATGGACATTTATCTGAGCAACTCGCTTAGAGATCAGCACCCCCCCCAGCCATACAATCTTTTAAAAGGGATACAGATATAGCCACTTAGCCTCGCGGCTGTCTGCGTGGCCACAGATATGAGATAAATATTATATTACCAATGTTAAAGAGAGCATTAAACCTAGTTCAAAAGTTTATGGGTCCAGAGATCTGGACTCTAAAAGAATATAGCGAAAAACAGGAAAAGTAGGTTGTGAATTCAGTGATTCGCTTAAGGTATAGAAATCAAAAAGGCAAGACACAGTGAAATATAGAAATGTATTTATTTAATTTGCACTCAAATTAGGAACTGAATTCAGAGGATTAAGTAAGAATTACTGATGGTCGTAAGTTAGGACTACATGAATAAAAAAAATCATAGCATAAATTGGTTCTTTTAACGTAGACTTGGAGTAGGGTTTTGAGCCCAACATAATAAGTAATTGCAGTAATATAGTCAAAGATACAAAAGAAGGACATTCAAGAAAACGCCGTCATTTAGTGTTTATGCAGGTAATTCCATAGCAATCGGATTAGTAAATATTGTTTACGTTAGATTAAAAATGACTAATCGTGGATATAGATGCAATTAAGTAGGGATTTGCAATCATCAACGCAAGTCCGGTTACCCTTAAATAATATCAAAATAGGATTAAATCATCCTCTAAGAGTATGTCGTAAGTCAATCTTCATGGCGACATATATAGCTCAAAAGATACTTTTAGAGGCAAGCGAAATACCAGGAATAACTGGTAAGACAAAAGTTTTTATCATTGAGCTTCTAGCGATATATGAGATGTATTCAGCCTATTTTGTTTAAGATGATGAAGGGCTGATAGTTGAGTTTTCCCACTGATATGAGTAGAGCTGACGTCTCCATTACATTTCACGGCCTTCTTTTACAAAAAAGCGTTCTCATCCAGAGTGGGCTACAGGTTCGAGCTCACCTAGGTCCTATAAACACCCCCAGCGGGAATCAAACCATGAGAGTGAGACATGTAATCTCGACACCTTGACCACCCTGGAAGAGAACACCTTTTTGGAATAAAGCGTCAGCTCTACTCATATCATTGTGGGAAAATTCAACCATAAGTCATTCATCACCTTAGAGGAAATAGGGTGAATACATCTCATATAACTGATTTACTGGTAGTCTCAAAAACCTACTTAGAGGCGAAAAATCTAGTGATATAGCAACGAGTCTTTCCATCATATACTCTCAAGCCAGATGCAATGGTTGTCAAAGTAAATGCATAAATACTTAATATCAAATAACTTCTTCGATCCTCAAAAACCATCAGCCTTTACCATATAGTTTTTATAAGGAAAATAAGTCACCCAATTTCATGATGTCCTGATACCAAATGATGTGATGGCAGCGATGGATGAGATGTCAATGAGGTCCCAATTGCCGCCGGCAATGAAGGAGGAGGTGTAGCCGAGACCGTAGTAAGTGAACGTAGGCTATTTGGTTGTAAAGACGCATGCGCATAGGGAGGCGGCAATCCATGCGTTAAAGCGTGGCTTGGATGGCAGAGAAAGCTAGTGGAAGCAGAAAGATAAGTTGTTGCATCAATGGGTGACACCGATGGTGGTGGAGGCGGAGGCGGAGGCGGGGGTGGTGGAGGCGGTGGCGGCGGTGGTGGAGGTTCTTTAGTTTTCTGCAAAGTCAGGGGAATGCGAAACATGTAGTCGGCTGTCCACATCGTTATGCCTGCACACTACTTACGTCTAGTATTATGCAACTTGGGTTTCGCGTAATGGAGATGAAATAAAAGTTGTGATGAACCCTGACAAGCAACAAAATATGTATAGCCTGACCAAAAAAAGTGTGCAAGGAAACGATTAACTGAAGACGATGGCCCAAATACCATCACGATGACTTAGGCTATCTTTTTGCTGTATTTGATAACAAAATTCCCTCAGTGATTTGCAAATTCTCAGCGAGTAAACTGTTGTGTAAATTATCAGTTTAATTCGATTTATTAAGGTTATAGCCTCGTATTAAAAAAATGAATGCCAATTAGAATAGCGAATGAAAATATAGGAAATAAGTTCAACTGAATTAGTGGTTAGATGAGATAACTAACATATCAAAGTAGGAAGGTAGAGGGCAAAAGATTACTTGTATAACATGG